TTAAAAAGAATCCAGTTATTTTTAATCAAATCCAGAACCGCTTTAAATCTCGCACTCCCGGTGGTCCATTACACTTCGCCCAAAAGGTCGAGCGAAAATGAGCAAATAAGACTCCCGCTGAGGTGCGAGGGAAAGATAAAACACCTGCATTGATCACTGTACGCTGCTTCGAGACCGCGGAACATACGATGTTCTTAAAACAAAAGTGTTTCGCATTGGAAAAGAGAAGTAAGCTGATGGCGCTTTGATGTCAAAGAAATTTCATTAAGCAGAACTAATTCGATTGTGAATTGCCTTCGATATTTTATGAACGTCGTACCCATATTCCGACGGACTTTCCTCGAATGCGAACACGCATGCAGCTACTGGCTGTTCTTCGGTTTCACGAAGCCATGTCATATCTAACATACGTAAGTACAGTCCCCCGCAATGTGTCCCCGTAATGCGAAGACCCTTTCGCCGATGCAGTTTAGGTGACGGCGATAAGCGTGCTTTGGTTAAAGGCACTTTACTTTAAGAGATAGCAAGGCGCAAATCTTTAATTTCTTTACCCAAGCCACGTGGGCAAGGCCAAAGCGAATCCAGAACAGCCGCCGAAAATGGCCTAGTCAAATGGGTCTTTTGTACTGATGGAGACTGTACGTTAAGCTTGTGATCACCTTGGAAAATGACCGTTAGGGAAATAATATATGATATGAAATGAAGCTCTGTACACAAATAGTGTTGACTCGCAAAAAAAAAAAAAAAGTCTAAGGATTAGTTAGTCAATTCGTTTTTTACCACGCGACATTCCTCAAGGACGCAAACAATACAAAGTATGCGTTAAAACGAATATTTCTTTTTAACTCGCACGAATTTCAAGCAGAGCGGTATTTTCCCAGTTCATCACCCCTGGCGTATTTCGGAGTTCTGCCGATTCAAATGCGCCTTTAGTTTTAAAGCTATACAGGAAGTACAGCGAGCGTGGATATGTTTAACGGCGGCGTCACCCACGCGGTGACGTAGCCTCGTCCACCCCCGTACCTTGTATCCTCCAGTCTCCTTTTACGCACAACCGCCTGAGTCATTCCAAGGACCCCTGCCAAGGTCCACAACCAAGTGGAAAAGCCAAGTACGGCGACCTATGTACGCACCCTCATGCCTTCGGGAAATAGAAGAAACTTTTGTCTACACGCGTCTTTAATCTTTTGCGTAGAAAAGCTATAGGAAAGCACGAAACGTCGAAACGGCGAGCTCTGGTTGGAATGATTAGTGGACCTAAAGCTATAGCTGCCTTTGGGTCTTTGAACCTGGGTCTCCACCGCGTACTCGTCGAACGCTTTATAATGCAGAACACCGGCGTCTGGCGTTTGGCTGCCGCATTCAAATGCGTCTGACGAGAGCAGCGGAGACAAAGGCAGCGAACCTTAGGTCTACCCACTAATCATTCGAACCAGCTGCAGATGACGACCTCTCGTCTCCTTTTCTCCTTGACTTTCTCCGCGCATAGCTGATAGATGTTTCTATTTCAGCTATGACGAAATAAAAACACGATAGCAAAAACTATTCCGCTACGCCGTTTCTACTTAAGCCTAACAGAATGGTTTTTGGTATGCTGTCTCTTTTACAGCATAGAAGAATAGTGGTGCACACAAGTCGCGTCGGTGCGCCGAGGCGGAGCGCGCCGGCCCAAAGGATCCCAGGCGGCGGGTGCGAATCCCGCCCAAAGTATTCGCAATCTGACGGAGGCTTATTGCCCGGAAGGCGCCGTGTAACCGGGATTTCGGTTGCACGTCGAACGATCCCTCGGTGGTCCGAGTTAATCCTCAATCCTTCGGTGAGGCGTTCCAACTGCGCTTCGCTGGTTTGCAACGTTGAACTCCCAAATCAGACCTTTTCTGAACATACCACAAACTTCGCTTACAAACAGGACACAAAAGCTTGAACCAAGCGAGCAGTGGATCATCAAAATTTTGGAGGTCTGTATGGAGCACAGAGCAAGATTTATCCATGATTTCTATCATCAATTGTTTCAGACGCTGCAGAACCACAGCGCATATTTACATCCTACGTTTGGCCTGCTCTGACACACTTTAAGGGGTTACGGAAGCGAAATGACGTGAGCACGACCTCTCTACCCCTCGCTTCAAAGTCGGCCAGCGAGAAGTGTTACGCGTATCGCGCTCGGGACGTCAATAGTTCATGCACGGCCAAGGGCACTTTGCCACTTGGTGGCGTCAACGCGCGACAATCTCGACTAGTAGTAACAACCAGGGACTCTGCGCCCTGTGGCCTGTACATGGCTTTCCCGTAACATCATTCGCGGCCATGCCGGTATTCCATATGCAACGAGCGTTCGGTTCACCGTGTTAGTTTGACAACGCAGAAAGGAGGGAACCAGTAAGTAGAAATAACCGTCAGTACCCAGCAATGGCGACACCTGTAAGCTATGTATATATTCGCGGTGAGGAGCTCGCTAGGGGCATTTCTGCTTTCCTCACTATGGTTAGTGCACGCTGTGATGTCTTAATTTTCATAATGCACAGAATCTCGGCATTGCACGTGCTTGCACCGGCAAAGGAAGTTTATGTATCCTCACTCTGGGCCGTAAAAAAAATCCACCAGGCGATCCAAACTTCTCGCCATGAATCAGGTGTTCACTGGGTGCCATATATTCGCATCCATGAGAGGGAGGGAAGGGGGGGTGGGGAGAGTGGTATGATTGGCCTGGCAGAGGTCTTCGCATCCTCAGATCCAGCTCCTACCTAACGTCTGCAAAGATCTCGATGGAATGCACGTTGCGTAAGCACTGTGCACGCTTTAACACATACAACGTAGTGAACGCGCCAGTGTTCTCCGTCAAGCCATAGCCAGGACTACGCAACTCCACGGGCGAGCGATACTGCCGCGAGCTGGCGCTGCTTCTTAGGAACTCATGCGGTGGCGGCATATGGTTGAGAGGTTTTCTTGACTTCTATGCCGGCAGCCCAGAAACACTAGCCTAGACTAGTGTTTCTGGGCTGCCGGAAGAGAAGTCAAGAAAACCAATTTTAAAAACAAATGAACAGATTTCAAAATTGCGTCTGGTGGCGGTCCGTGAAGCTCCTTTGGAATGCCGTCACGTCATGAGTTCTTCAGAAGCAGCGCCAGTTCGCGGCAGTATGGCTCTCTCGTGGAGTTACCTAGTCCTTAATGTGACTTGGCGGAGGACGCTATAAGCTGGGACTGCAGCCAAAGCTACAAGCGCCCGCGCTCCTGGCTTTGAGACGTGCATTTCTGGCGCGAGCGCTCGATCCATCTGTGGAATAACGCTTCAAAGTAGCGACCTCGAGCTCTCGTGGCTGTGGCTCTGGCTTAGAGTGCCTTCATACACACGCGCGCTTTTGCTTGAGTGGTGACATCTCAGCCATTTTTCCGCCCAATCGTTTGTTTATGCATTTTGAAGTGCGTGCAATCCGGTGACACTCAGCTCGAGCGCTTAGCTTTGGCTAATGCATAGACGCCATTTTACCGCCCTAGTCACGCACCGGGAGCGTGAGAGCGTCACGCGCTGGCACATGCAGGGCAACAATGGATGTCTTCACCCTGAGACAGACAGACATGTAGGCACCCTAGTCTGGCTAAAGTCTCAGCTCCACAGTGCTTCTGCAAAGTGCGTTATTCCACACCACCAGGATCGCCGTTCTTTGCGCACTTTAGGAAGGAGCTGGCATGATCTGAGGATGCGAAGACCCCTGTCAGGTTAACCATACGCCATTGCTTTGTACTGACGGTTACTTCTACTTACTGGTTCTCTCGAGACACTATTTCTGCGGCGGGAAACTAAGACGACGAACCGAACGCTCGATGCATATAAAATACCGCCATGGCCGCAAATGACGTTACGGACAAGATATGCATAGGGCATAGGGCGTAACAGTCCTGGGATATTACTACTAGGCGAGATAGTCAAGCGCTGATGCAAACAAGTGGCAAGTCTCTCAATTACGGCACCCTTGACCGTGCAAGAACTACGTGACGAGCGCGATACGCATTGCGCTTCTTGCTGGCCGACTTTGAAGCGAGGAGTAGAGAGGTCACGCTCACGTCGTTTCGTTTCAGGGATATTGAACGAAACAATTTAGTGTCCCTAAGAAGTGGCGCACGTTAGTTCAACGAGCCAGGAGCCGCCGGTGTGCGCGAGCACACGCAACCACACTGAGGCCATAGTCCCGCACTAGTCCCGCATTTGCTCTTAAGATGAGAGTGAAATGCATAGTCTTTGGGCTAAAAAAGAATAAATACAGGACTTTCATCTTCACAAGTGAAAGCGACGTGCTTGTTAGACCAACTATTCGCTTACCTTTTACGCCAGACACCACTGTGGAGAAGAAAAGCCCGTCTTTATTTTCCTTTTCTCTGGAGCAAACACATTTCACTGTCATCTTAAACGTGAATGGGGCACTATGAGGTCACTTTCGTTGCCTGTGCTCGCGCACACCGGCGGCTGCTGCCTCGTGGAAAGATCGTGAGCCGCTTATTATACACATTGACATTTTCGGTTCAGCATCCCATACCAACTTGAGCGACGAACAGCAACATCCGACGCCGATTAACCTCAGGCACTAGCAGCATGCCCGCGAAGGCATCTGGCAGGGCTGCAATCACTCGCGCTTCCTTCACGATCACTGAGAGCCTGCAGGACTGCCGAAGATACCACCCCGCGCACGCTGCACGTGCTCAGCTCGGACGGATGTTGCTGCTTGTCGCTCAAGTGGGACTACCGGGACTGCCAGGATGAGGACAACGGGGCGTCTCTTTCGGGTGTTGGGCTTCCAACACCCGTGCGTTGCCTTCTTATCCTTATTTGGCCGCACGCTGGAAGCTCCCGAGATGCCGAAGTGGCCTCGAAGGTGAAGCTCCCGCCGTACGACCTCCCTGCCGCTCTCATGCTGCCAGTGAGCACAGGGCATAACCGCGCCAACTCGAAGACAACGCAGCTCGTGAGCCCGTCGGGAGAACGCGAGGAAAAGGACACGCACCTCTGAGCACAGACACGATCCTCCGTAGCCGCATCGCCCTCTCCCGAGCATCCCGGCGCATAGTGCACGCGCACTCACGCGCGCGCACGTGCACGTGAGGAAACCAAGTCACGCTTTGACGCGCACGTATATCCTCGCTCCCGCGAGAGCACGCTCTTCCTTGCACACCACAAAACGCACCGTCGACAGAGAAAGCAAAAAGCGCACTACGCCAGCTCCGAAACGTCGGGAACGACTCGCACAAGACACTCGCCCACCGCAAACACCTCTTTCTTCAAAAACGGCCCGACCGCGTGACGAGAACCACGTGATTGCGTCGTGACCACGTGACCAGCGCATCACGTGGCCAGCCCGCAAAACGAGTTTCTTTGCTCGGTTTGCGTTTGTTTTGATGGCGGACGGCATTACCTAAACACTCGTCCAGCCCAGGCGGACCGGATTTCTCCTCTCAATGCACAAGGCCGGCGCACCTTACGCGTTGTCATGTGGGCTATGTGGCTGTATTTTATTAGGTTATCTCGTCATTTACTTTTTCGCTCAACCCTCGCCCGAAGAGAGAGTGCTCGGGGTGTGTTCCGCTGGTAGCCCAGGTCGTCGGAGAAAGCGCGTGCTCTTATCGAAACGGCTTCGGGCAGAGAACAGAGGCACGCGCAAGCTGCGCCAAGTCGTGACACGCCTATTTTATGGATATCTTTGAACTTGGGTCGTGCGCCGCTCCACAGGGGCGTGTTTTCGTGCCTTCGGTTTGCCGTAGTGTCGTATTCATTACTTTCACGAGCTCTTTTTTAATGTGTAGCCATCAGCTATAGCCTAACGTGCCCCGTTTAGGATCTATAAATCATTCAATTACTTGGTCTGAGGCGAGCTGTCATTATCTGTTTAGCGGAACCTGCATTATACACGCTACACCAACTACGCACCATTTCATCGTGACTTGAAAAACAGCGAATGCTACTGTCCCAGTGGGCCAATCAGCGGGTTAGAGCCAAGCACGTGACGAGTCGATGGAGTGCTCTCTTCCTGCAGAGCGTTGACGCGTGATTCTCTACGTCGCTCTGATTGGCTGAAGCAGGGCCGTAGCGTTCGATCTTTGCCGAGTTACGGCGAAACGAAGCATAGCAGTCTGATCATTTTGTGTCGTTCCGTAGTCGACGTATAAAACGTTGCATTGCAGACGATCACGCTCGTCTAATATATGACTCGATAAGCTTATATACATCATAAACGCTGGACGAGGAAGTAGAATGCCATTGGCGAGCTGCTTAAAAAACTGTACGATGAATAATTTCGATATATAAACGCGGTAAGCAGCAGTACGTGAGTGGATTATGAAAGCCCGAACCCCGCTAATCTGAAAAGGAAGCAATGCAGAGGTGCTGTGCCGATGTCTAGACCGCACAATATGCGCCTCGATGCTCTAGAGCAGTTGCCGGAATTGTGAATACACACTATGTGATACAGCTCGTGCGAATTCCTTTACCCGTATACTACACTTCAGCATAGTTAGGAAACTTTACCGTATAATTCGGTGCCATTTGATAAAAACATTCAACCAGAAAGAAAAAAAGGCAAAACAGCGCGGGAAAAGGCGAAGGACAGCAGGGACAAAGCGCGCACACAAGACGCTGGCGTTTTTTGCCTCCCTACAAAAAAGATGTACCGCAACAGCTGAACTTAAAGGGAAGCTGAAGCGGTTTTGAATTTAATAAAACAAATACTTGAATCTTTTTAATCCGATTCCAAGCATCACGACTATCACAAAAAGTAGGCTATTTCATGCCCGTATTACCTAAAAACACGCCATCGCAGCTGCGTTGAAACCACGCCCCTTCGCCGTAGCGGGAGAGGGCAGTTAAAGGAGAAGGGAAAACATGGCGTCACGAAAGGTTCCTCGCGCGTGCTTCTCAACTCGCGGAGCCAGCCTTGTGCGTCCTCGGTACTGAGGTAGTGAGTGATTCATTCTTCTGAAAGATGCCAGCTGAACCTAAAAAGATACACGGAGAGAGAGAGAGAGAAAGAAAAGAAGACAAATACACTGCTGGGTTAGCAACGATTTACGAAGAATCTTCTTCAACACCCATCATATCTCGTAAATAATGAGAGTCCAAGAAGGAGAGCTTTATCTTCAGAGAATAGTTGCTAGTTCAGCAGTGTGTTAGTTCCGAGCACCTTCCTACCGAAGAAGCGGGCACCTCAGCGAATCCGAGGAGCGCACGGGAAGCGGAGACGAAACGAGGTAAGGATTGCCAGCTGATCGTTCTGCGAAAGGTGCAATTAGAATCGCACCTGGTAGTTTTAGGACGTGACGGCTCGACCAACCAATGACGTACGGCGGAGGCGAGGGGCTGCATGTTTTTCGATTCTTTTTTCCCCCTTTTAGCGTTGTTTAGAGAAGAAATTAGTGATATTTGGGTTCTCCAGTGAAAACTACGGGAGCAAAAAGCTTTATCTCATTCAGAAAACAAAAGTCATTTCAGCTTCCGCTTAATACCTCGCGGCATTTTATGCTACACAGAGTCCTTTTTGCGTCTCCTTCGTGCGTTCATTTCGTCTGTATTTCATCATTTTTGCTTATGTCCGCCCGAAACTACAAAGTATCGCGCACATCACACAACGCACCGAACGGATTGTCCGTCAACCAGCGCTTGAACTCCCGGTCGGCCGCTGTGTAAAGTGCAGCTGGCTTCCTGACGCCAATGGGACCAGCGCTCTCGTCTTGCACCTTGCCCCTCCCTTCACACCTTGATGGGCCCGCCGTCGTCACTCTCGCTCCAAGCGAGAGTCCGCATGGTACGTTTTATCCCGCTTTGCTGGCGCTGAGCGCACCCTGAGGAAAGTCCCCACTCCAAGAGCAATCGGCGATTGCAGGTCCTCTTGAGGCTACGTCCCACACTCGAACACAGAAGCGCTAAGAGCTGTCCCCGTATGAAACGTCATGCATTTGAAACGGGGATGAAGCGTGTTCGTGCTAACCGTGTCGCTCGCTGTACGCGCGCACACGATGGATTACAAACGTACAAAAGCGATGTAGCTCCTAGGAATGGCCCCCTTTCTAAGACAATGCAGCGGCCGTTTAGATGGCGGTAGCCCGGATGGAGCCACATATGACGGGTGCGGGACGATCTGAAAACGGTCCGGGCTATAAAGCCATGCCATTCCCGAAACGCCGCCACGCTCGCCGTAAAACGGAAACAAAACCGCGCGTGCGAGGCAATAACAACGACGAGAGTGGGGGCTGAGCGAAGCCTATGCCCGCAATCTTTACGCACGCGGAAGAGAAAGCGTGGAATAGCCCCGCAGGCACTTTCAACCTTAACACCTCACGCCGTTTCTTCGAAAGCGGTTTGAAGCGCTTTGTCGGGGAAATTATACTTCCAAAATCTAAAAGCAGTAGCTTTTTTTTTTTTTTTTTTAAACGTCGACGATTTGCGTTTTTCTTCTTCTTCTTACTTAGTCCTGACGAGTGCTATGACGTTAAAGACGTGCGTAGGAAGCGAAGAAATCGAAATACGTCGCAGCTGAGAGATGGCGATCGAAGCAATATCGAACAAGCTGCGCTTGTTTACCCACTGCAAAACAGGAATAGCTACCATTCGCGCGGCAATATCATCTCGTTCTGCTTCTCATTCTCTTTTTTTTTTATTTTGCTATACAGAGGTTAAGATAGGAAACGAGCTAGTGCCAGGTGACAGCACGTGTGGCGGGAACGTATGGCAGCCATATTGCGGTATCATATAACGGAAGACAATGATCACCCAGTGGAAGCGCGTAATTCGACGTCTCCCGAAACCTTCCCCGCAATAATCGGTGACTCAAAGAAATGAAGCCGAAAGTGACATCGTTCTATAACAGTCTGTGACTCCACGAGTTCTTGCTTTTGTAGGCCACTTTATAATTATTTCCCCATGTAAGATCCTTAATCCTTATCCTTATTATTATTACTATTAGAACTACTATTATTATTATTATTATGTAAATTGCTCCAATATGCGGATGACACAGTGTTGATTTAAAAAAATCTTGATTATCCTGTAGCAATTGCTTTACTCCAAAAGGACAATAGTCAACTTCAAGACTGGCTTAAGACAAATTGTCTTACGATAAATGCGTCTAAAACTCAGCTTGTCCATCCTATATATATGCATACCTCTCTTTGTACATCTTGTAACTGTTGTCCCATATCTTATGTAGATCAAGTTAAATATATAGGAATTCAATGTGAAAGTGCTTTGTCGTGGAATTCCCATCAGTCAAAACTTTGTAAACGACTGAGAAATGTATCTTGTGTACTGTATAATACAAGGTCTTTAATACCATATTCAACGAAAAAGACAATAGCTCACGCCAGGCACGTAGCCAGGATTTTGTTTCGGAGAGGGGGGAGGGGGGGGGGGGCACCCATGACAAAATGCTGTATGAGGGGGAGGGGGGAGAGGGAGGTCCCAGCAAAATGGAAGATTTCGGGGGGGGGGGGGGGGAGGGGGGGGGGCCGGCCCCATGGGCTACCCTCCCCCCCCCCCCCTAACTACGTGCCTGGCTCACGCTTTAGCATACAGAGTTTTGCGTTACGGAATAACTATTTTTGGTCACAGCCCAGGACGATGGGGTCAAAAAATTGACTCAGTCTTAAAATGAATATTTAAAAACATTGTTTATGGTTCCATATCGCAAACTGAAGAAGATACCATAGCAGTCTTGGGCTTGCCATTGTTCCACTCTTTATTGGTTCATACCGTTGTATTGAAACACTTCCGGTGTGATAATTTCAAAGTACCCCATGTCGTGTCTAGATCCCTTCGGCACACCGAGCGCTATGAAATGCCTTTTGTTGTTACAAAATACGGAAAAAGAATTTGGAATTTCTATGTTCCTTATATACTTAATAGCCTACCGGACGATGTTTACACTGTGAACTTACTAAAAAAAACTGAAGCAAGTGCTCCGATGTAAAAGTGCAACTTTTTGACAGTGATGTGTATGTGCATGTGTTTGTGTGACCATCATCGTTTATATTGTGATGTATGTTGAGCTTGGAACTTTACGTGTGTGGGGACGCTTTTTTATCACAAACTGTGGTGTCTTGTCCAACAAGAATTTTGTCTGGCTTTGACAGACCCGCCTCACTATCAAGTGAACTACACGCGTAAATAACCATTATTATTATTATTATTATTAATTAAGCCAGTGCTGCGCGCTAACCAAACCGCCAGGGATTCACCATCTGAGACCATAGTTGAACAGCCCCCGGTGCTTGCAAC